TATCAGTATCAATGCTCAGTGAAATAATGCAAATATCAATGAAATCGTACAGTAACAATAAACTCGTAAATCCGTCAGTCAATCCATTCAAAATCAATAAATCAATAATCAATATAAGAAGTCTGTCGATATCAATAAATCTATAAATCCATAATGAGATCAATAGGTCAATACCGTACACATGCAATTCAATACAATAGTCTTACTGAACAAGTACAATCACTTGCTATTAAGGCGTTTTTCGGTATCGATGTATCGTTGTGTCGTTATATCCGTTGGCTCAATAAGAGTCGTCACTCTGTGCCCGTCGGCATAATAATATCCTTATAACTCTCAATCGTTATATCAATGATCAATAGAGGATATCGCCAAACCCTTTTTAAAGGAAAGCCCGTCGGCCCACCATCCTGTATAGGTCAAATCAATCTCAAACCAACGGTTCAACCAGTCTTCACTTGTCTTTTAGTAACCATAAAAATAATTCAATCATATAATCACATCCGTATGCTTATTCAATCATTCGAATCATCAATGCAGAAAATCAGAGATCGTACGAGAAATCGGCAACATAACGGCAGTATACGGAATGTACACAGAAATCACAAATTCAGAAATTTACCAAATTACCGCTTCTCTTTCTCTCTCCTCCAAATGAATCCAAAATATCTCAAATCCGATACTTATCAAGCAGGATCGTCCCGGACGATCCAAATTCGTCCCGGGACGAACTCCTCTGGACACAGATCGTGAACCAGATCGTCCAGACGAAATTAAATGCCAATTTCGTCGTCCCGGGACGAAACTCTCGGGTTCAGTTCGTCCCGACTGTTCCAGGTTCGTACAGACGAAAATGACAGATTTCTTCACAATTTTCTTCAGTTCGTCCCGTACTAAGGCCAGTTCGTCCGGACTAACAGCACTCACAAAAAATCAGATTTTTAAGGATTTTACAAGTTGTAGAGGAGCCAACACCAAGTAAAAAAGAAGCCCTCGAAGTACTATAAAGACCAAGGAGGAAAGCACGATTCTATGTCTAGATCTCGAAGAAGAAATAGGAAGACATTGGTAGAGCAGAAAATTGATATTCAGTGATGCATTGATTTTATTGATGACAACAACCCCCTAGACAGCCTGTTAAACTGGAAGAATATATGGTTGACTTGCATCTTAACTCAGATTCGGAGGAAGAAAATAATATTCCTATGGAAACTTGTAGAGTTATAAGTCAACGAGGTGGAAGGATTGCAAGAGGATGAGGTGGACCTCTTGATTTTCACGGGGCAATTTAAATACTCTTTTTAAAGAAACATGTTGCACAACATCGCCATTTATTAACTCAGATGAAGAGCTCTACTTCCCTGACGATGAAAATGATAATAAGAGTTGGAAGTAGAAAACATGGAAAATACGAAAGACTCTCAGGCTAAGGGTAGTTTATCTAAAGAAGTGACACAGATTCTGAGAAGTGAAAAAGAGATTCTTGTTCACCACAGAAGAAGATGATAGATCAGGGGAAGAATATTCAGCTCAATGATAATATTATGTCACATAATCAAATCATCCACCTAAACCTAAGAAGATTGCTAATGCCACTATAGACTATAATGTTTTGGCCCATCTCCATAAATTATCCGCATTTCTAAGCATTTACGATGTTCTCATTATGTCTAAGAACCTTCTAGAGACATTTATTAAAGCTTTGTAGAATTCAGAACAGTATGAGACATTCTTAGCTAAAAAAAAGTATGAAGGAGGCCTTGTACGCTCATAATACTCCTACAATCATTTTTAATAATGATGATGATATGCTCTTTGGAATCACATATCACAATCAACCACTATATAGTACTGTGAAGAGTAACAAAACTCAAGTGAACAGAGTTCTAATCGATCCAGACTCCTCTGTTAATCTAATGAGCCTTAAAATGCTCAAAGGATTAATCTTGGATGTACAATATCTAAATAGGAGTACAGTATTCTTGCAAGGGTTCAATGAATAAGGATTTGGGTACTAGTTCCATAACTAAGAATGTTAATAATAAATAATTAAGCGTATCCCATTCTCTTTGTTGTTTGTTTGAAATAAAAAATCCTTAAACTCAAACATCTAGAACCGACCAAACAAAGGCCAAAATGCAAAGAGAAGGCAGGTCTGCTCGGTAGTTTGGTGGAAGCCTGATTGGTCGAGTAGCCTTCATTCATTTCTTCCTTGCTTTATGTTTCAGTTGCCTGTCGAGATCATGGACCACGTGAGACGACGTGCTCTAATTGTATATTTATTATATATACACTTTTTTTTTTCTTTTGCCGATGTTTAACTGCTTTGTTGTTGAGTGAATATATGTTAAACTATTAGCATTAATCAATAGCTGTAGCATTATATTTTAATAATGTAGAATGTCATTCCTTTTGCAAAGTACATAGAATGTGAAGTATTATTCCTATTAACAGCAGCTCGAACTGAACATTTTTACTTGTTTCTCATATTCTGTCATTACTTGGAGCTCGAAGTTATTTACAATAACTGTTATGTGTGATATATGGCATTGATAATTGATATTTTTTTTGTACTTTGTCAGAGATATCTTTTAGTTTATTCTCAGCGTCTCTTCATTTTATTTGAGAAACCAATTAATGTAGTAGCCGTTTGTGAATGACCCCCACTTTTCTAGCTACTTTATATCATCTATACTTTTCTCTAGTTCTTTTCTTAGGAACTCAATATAGCTAATGGACTCTCTTGTATCTAGTCAAGTGTTGTAGACAAACAAATGTTGATATCTTTCCGTTGTATTTATAAGCATCATTCCTTGTGATAACATGATAAGTAATGTATTGGCGATGTATGCAAACATCTTTTTAATGAATAGCTCAATTCTTGGATGAACAACCGGTCTCAAATAGAGGCAGAATAGGTAAAAACATATATAAATATCTCACTAAATAATTTATATAACTTTAAATATATCAACCGGTCTCAAACTTTTTTAAATAATTTATACATTCCTTTTCCACTTCATCAGGTATTTTTACACGGTCTCACATTGACATTCGTGTAGGCTAGGTGATCCTTCAACCTCTTGACACCACCAGTTATGCGCTTCTCGTAGAAATTACATTTCATATAAACATATCCCTTTGTCGCACCTTCGCCTAGCACTTTAACTTAAGTGTCATATTTCCATGCAAGATCTTTCCTTCTTATGCCACTAATCATACTAATAATTGATAAAAATAAATAATTAACATCAAATTAAAAATACAAATTTAATCATAAATTAATCATCAATTTGTATTTTTAGATTCTAATTGAGATTTTGGTTTGAAATTTATCTAATGCTTAACTTCAAATTCAGTCTTTGATTTTAGCTTTTTTTCACAGTTTGGTTTAGGGTCATGAAATGTTCTTTATAAACTTTGATATTGATTTAGATTTTAAAAAATCACATGCATACTTTATTGTCATTACAGGAAGCAGGCGAAGAGAAATAGGAAATAAATCGTTACCTTGGTGGAGATTATAAAAGACGACTATTGTCTTAGCACGTCGAAGTCGGAGAGGCAGGGAATGAAAGAAATTAGGAAATAACCCCCTCACCTTACGAAATAGGAACGGGAGAGAATAGGGAATCTTACCTTCACCTCCAGGTACGTCGAACTCGATCGAACTTGGCAGTCAAAGTCGGCAGAAGCAGTGTACACGAAGGAACGAGAGAGAACAGGGAATTAGAGAGAATGGGTAATGAGAGAGAACGAGAGAGTTAAAGCGGCGGAAATGCTTCTAAACAGAAGCCCTAAGTCTAATAAGCATGCTCGACTCACGCACATGGATGACTCTTACGAAAAAAAATAGAAATGAATCGAGGCAGTTCCTCGTTTCACCTCAGGCGTACGCCACAGTGAAAAGGTGTAAGTTTCGTCCAAGCAATTGAGGCTTAAGCCTCAGTTCGCCCACGCTACGCCTTAAATCGAAATGCATGTGGTATTTTAGTTTTTGGCAAATTTGTGCGCTTTCCTAAATGCGCACACAACTTTTGTTGCACCTCAAATTTAATTGGAATGTCTTGTGAAGTGCATCCACCATTTAAAATTGTCTAAGTTATATTTTCTCAGAAAGGTGTTTGCAATTGCATTGATGTTGTGATGAATGTTTGGCTTCACCATTGTGCTCATCTAATTTCATTTTTGTTGCATGATTTTTGTTAAGTACACACTTTTTTATGTGCGCTTACAAGTTCATTTTTTTTTCATTTTCTAGTTGTGAATTTTTTGCACGCATGCACTACAATGTGGAAGTTTGAATAGCACTTGCTATAATATCGTATTGTCCATATCTTATTCCCAATTGTACCTTGGCGGCCCCTATAGGAAATATCCACACATAGAAACAAGGGTGCTTCGCATGCCATTTTCATATTTCAACTGACTTCATAACATTTAAGTTTTTTTCGCTTTCCCATCACCAACTTCGGCATTACAGGGGGCCTTTTTGGGCAATTTCAACATTTGAACTAATGATAAAGATCTATTTAGCGAAATGGGCAATAGATTTGATACATTTTTATGTCCATTTTTGCCAAATTGTGTCCATCTTCTATTGTTGTTGTTGCATTTGATCTAATGACTTTTGAAACATATATCGAGGTCAACAGTTTTAAGCCCCCACGATTCAATGTTTATGAAGTTGGAATGCCATCCTCAACCCTGGCCTTAGAAAATTATGTGGAAATATTTCTACTGAATCTTTTTGCAGAAATTAATAATATTTGAGGAACTGAAACAGAACTTAAAAGGCTAGGACAAAGTACATAATGAACACTATATTGCAATGTTTGGCTACGCTTATTTGAAAGATGCATTTTTTATGTTAATGATATATATTAAGGAAATTACTTAATTTTCATGATTCTATTTTTGTCCTTGCTATGGTAGTTCAACTTTGATATTTTTAGTGCTTCATGCCACAATATTATTCTCTCCTATTTTTATTCTATTTTCAGTGAAGTGCGGGTTGAGGGGTTGGAGACGATAGATTATTTCGACAATTTGAAGGGTAAGGAGCGATGCACAGAACAGGCAGATGCTCTTACCTTTGAATCAGAAGTAAGTTCATGAATATTTAGTTCACTTTTTATGCTTTCCGATTCTGAATTAATTCTAAAAAATGCCTTTGTTGAAAAAGGTTGACAAGACTTACATTAGTACGCCCAACAAGATTGCAATAATAGATCATGAAAAGAAGAGAACATATGTTATGTGGAAAGAGGGAATCCCAGATGCGGGTAATTTTGTTTTCTGTTGTTTCTAAATTATACTGATTTAGGTTTCGTTTGGGACGGCTTTCTTCTTGCTTCCTAAAACAGCTTTTTAGTATAAAAAATTTTTGAATTTAAAATTTTTGTGCTAAAAAGTAGTACGAAAGCTGTCCCAAACGAAGCCTAACACTAAAATTAGAAGTTAGAGAAAATTCATAGCTGATAAATAGATCCTGACCTTTAACTGTCTTCTTACTAGTTGTTTGGAATCCCTGGGACAAGAAAGCCAAAGCCATTGCTGATTTTGGCGACGATGAATACAAGCATATGCTGTGCGTCCAGCCGGCTGTAATTGAGGATCCTCTTCCTCTGAAGCCAGGCGAAGAATGGACAGGCAGACTGCATATCTCTGCTGTTCCGTCTAGCTACTGTAGTGGGCAATTGGATCCCAAGAGAGTTCTTTATGGTTGAAGTACATCAGTGACAGTGAGTGGTGCGTTTTATTTAGGTGAGATTCCTTCACAGTCGTCTTCTATTAAAGATTTTCATGTGCCTGTGCATTGATAGTTTTCTGGTCAATGGTTGCTCTTAGCTTCTATTGGACAACTTTATTTAGGCTTCGTTTGGTACGGCTTTCTTATTGCTTCTTAAAACGGCTTTCTAGTACAAAAATTTTATAAGAAACAGTAAGATAGCCGTCCCAAACGAAGCCTTAATCCGAACCACCATTCACTTATATGCTATAAACTATGGTTTCGTTTAAGATGGCTTTCTTATTGCTTCTTAAAGCAGCTTTCTAGTAAAAAATTAAAAAATTTATACTAAAAAGTTGTTTTAAGAAATAGTAAAAAAGTCGTCCCAAACAAATCCTACACCATCTTTCAGTCTTGGTTTGGCTTTGTTTGTACGAATACGCTGATTTCATTTTTGAACTTAATGGAGTTCTCTTTTTACCTAATGTGCAGGCACCAACTGTTGCAGTGCATCTACCTCATCGTTTTCAGGCAGAGAGTTTCTACCGTTTCTTCTTTTACATAATTTCATTTATGTTTCTCTTCCCGTTAGAGCTAGAGAATAACGATTGCAGAATAATGGCCTAATTTGTTGATATGCCGATGAAATTTAACTGTTATCTGCAAGCGAACTTATAAAGAAATGATTAAAGGCACGTCATCATTATTAGTTTTATTTCAATTATTTGAAGTTGATTCTTTTGAATTCTCATTCTTCATATGTTTTTTTGCTGAATATTACCTCAAGTGGTAAGCCTATGCTGACTCGGCTGGCCGAGTACCGGTTAAGAAAGAGATAAATCATTGTCAACGCATTCCAGTACTTAAAACAGTTTTATTTAGTTTTATATCTGCCACTTAATTTTTTTATATTATATTTAATTTAATGAAAATTGTGTTGAAAAAGTTATATGTTTGTAATGTTATATCTCTGTTAAATTTAGGCTTAGTTTGGGATTTTTTTTTGTGCTTTTTAAAATAGTTTTTTAGCATAAAAATTTATAATTCAAAAACTTATACTAAAAGGCTGCTTTATGAAATAATAAAAAAATTGTTTCAAATGAAGTCTTAATATGATCATTTGTGTAATGGCTAGGGGTGCAATTGAGTCAAGCCGACTCGTGAGTCGGCTCGAACTTGAACCGGTAATAGGCTCGATGAGTCAAGCTTATCAAGCTTACGAAATGAGTTCGAAACAATTTCGAGCTTGAAAGCTTATTGAGCTCGAGCTCAAACAAGCCTGGAACTCGACTGTCGGCTTGATGAGCACGTAGGAGTATTAATTTGGGTCAATAGGTCTGGTTCGGGTCGAACCCGACTTGACCGGACCTTAAAAGGGTCAACCCGAACTCGACCCGTTTTTGCAAACGGGTTAGTTGTTTCAACCCGGACTTGACCCGCGCGGGTTCCCTGGTTGACCCGACTTGTGACCCATTCGTAAGATGCGAAAAGTGAGCCAAATGTTGCACTATCGCGTGGCTGCCGCGGGTGCATAGTTAGTGTGACTCGGGCGAGGTCCGCTTTGGCTAGGCTAGCGCGGGGCGAGGCCTGAGGCTATCAGGCCAGCTTGTGGGTGGTGCGACTCAGGCGAGTGGGTGAGGCATGCTGCTGCCGCATGCAGGTAGGTAGGAGTGCGACCCGTGCGGTGTCGGAGTCAGAGACACCCTACGAGGACGCGCGTGGCTACGAGGACGCGGGTTGATGGCAGGTCAATTTTTGGTTGGAAATTGTAATCCATGGAGCTCACGAGTGGGAAATAAAAAAAATGACGAAGCTCACAAGCGGGAAATCCAAATCGACGGAGCTTGCATGTGGATCCTGATGGTGTAAAAGCTCTGAACAATTATGTCGGACGCGAGTTTGGGAAGACGACAGAGAAGATCCTGACAACAACGTCCGTCATTTTTTACTACAAGCTTGGGTCCTTGGGACGAAGTCGCCAGAGTTCGGGAAGATGATAGAACAGATGATGAGCTCATGATGAAGGATATCGATGGCGGAGGTCGGGAAGACGGACGTGATGACGGAGGCGATGATTTCGACAGTGGAGCTCGGGACTGAGCTCGACGAGCCACTAGACATGAAGAAGAGTCGAGCTCGAGCTCGGATTTTAAGCTCGGCTCGAGTTCGAGTTCGAGCTCAGTATTAGATAGTCGAGCTCGACTCGAACAACCCCTGGTTCAAGCTCGACTCGACTTGTTTGCACCCCTAGTAATGGCACATTGTCCACAAAGAGAAAAGAATGGAAATAAGATAAATAGTATGATCATGATTGGGTGATGTATTCATCATTGTGGACCTAAGGAAGATAGGAGAAGGTGGAGATGTGCTTGTTTATTGAAGATGGTTGGAAGAAAAAAAGATAGAGGGATGAGGCACGTGGATACAATCAGGGTGCGGGAATCAGAACAATAATTAGAAAACTAGTGTAGGAGCTCAAGGAGGTGATTTTGTGGGGGGTTACCATGATCAAAGTGGCGAATTGAGCTATGGCTCAATGGTTGAAGAAGAAAAAAATGATCAAAGAGAGCCAACTTTTTCATCGATGTGGATGGGAGTGGAAAAAGGAGGTGGCATTCCTAAAGGAGAGTTGGGATAGCAAAGGATTGAGAGATCCATCTTAGGATTCTTCTCACCTTAGGTAGAGCATAAAAGCTATATGTAAAGGGAGTGCCTCTTGATGAAGGCAAAATATAGGTAAGGAGAGTTTGATTCAAAGGGTGGTAGTGTGATGGAGTTTAAATGGAGAGAGCTCCTATGTAAAGAGGTCTTAATGAAGGATCCCTATAAATGAAGAAGACCATAGAAGGAGAAAAAATAATATGAAGATCATAATATATATGGTTTATCTTTATAGCCTATGTCTGAGGAATGCAAAGTATTCAAGTTACAAAGAAGGTTCACCTTATTCTTCGATCAACATCGAGATGAAAGAGATGCGAAAAATGAAGGTGGAGAGTCATATCTCAATAAGCTCAATGCGTTTGACCTCCTTTCTTACAAGAGAAATGAAGGTATTTATATATCATTGGGGCTTTTTTTTGCATCAATTAGGGTGGCATTGGTGTGGTTAATGAGGATTGAACATGTAATAACCTGAAATTTTAAAAATAATTTTAAAATAAAAATTCTAAAAATCTTGGCTGGAGTGTTGTGGCGTTGTGCTTGCAAGCACAACGATGCTAGGAAACGCCGGAAAAGCGCAACTGCGGCACTGAGCTCTCTGTTCTATAGTAGCAATGGAAGTAGCCTGCAACACAGCTGCACTAGATTGGGAGCATTGCGGCACTAAGCACTAAAAAAATATAATTTTAATATAAATTTCTCAACTCAATCATTCCTCTCCATTCTAGATATTGGCTTGTCGTATAAGGAAAGAAAGAGAGGAGGAGAGGAAGAAGGGAGAATGAAGATAAAGAGAATGTCATTTGGAGTATTTTTGTTCGTCAATTCTATTCAGAGATTTTTTCTAATTGTGATAGGTAATATGAATCATACATTTATTTTTTGTGATATCGTGTTTGATGAATTTAATCTCTGCTAAATTTTGATGAATTTAATCTCTGCTAAATTGGTTAAAATAATTTTTCTCCTGATTTATTGTACTTTCACCGTGTTACTTTTTGTATATGATATATATGATTCTTATGAGAGAGAAGGCCATTTAGAGCATTTTTGTTTGTGGAGATTTTTTCTAATTGTGATAAGTAATATGAATCCTACATTTATTTTCAGTGATTTTTTATTTGGTGAATTTAATGTCTCGAAAATCGGATAAAATATATTTTCTCCTAATTTATCGCACTTTCACTGTGTAGCTTTTTATATATGATTCTTATGAGATTTTTAACTGTTATATTATTAAATTTTACAAAATAGGTTAATAGTTGTGATTTTCTGAAGTTAATGCAAAATATATAGATTTCTCTATATTTCATAAATTGTTGCATTTCCTACATGATAATGAATTTCATAGATCCAATGTTGTAATTGGGATAAGATAAATGTAGCATTTACATGTAAGCAAGGAAAGATGCTTGTTAACACTACAATTAATGCTATTTTTCTATTAAAATTCAATACCCTGTATAATTAGTACAGTTTATGGTATAATCCTGGATGTTAGACTATAATTAATTGACTGAATTATGCTGATGGGTAGAGGATGATAACACTTAATAATTTATTGAAAGCCACATGTAAACTTATTTAAGATTCATGAATAATGATGGCAAAATAAAGATTGACAACCAACTAGTTATTAGTTGAGATTACATTAAAGACTGATGACCAATTGAGAAACGATTAGGGTTAAAGATGTTGATAATGCCACATTAAAGTTGGATGTCCTACTTTATTATTCATAATCACATTCATAATTGCATTTATATGATATCATATGAACTGATTGATAGATAAAACTGATATAGAATTGTTTGATCTAGTATTGAAACTATATAGCATAACATAGCATTTGACATATACGCTTATAGACATTGATAGACATATTGATATAGTATATTAATATGGCATATTGGTAGACAGATACACATGACATATCATTTATATATATATATATATATAATGGAAGCATTGACATAAATATAATTGATAGAAAATCAATATATTTTACTGTACAACACATGAATTGCTTTATAAACTTTAATTTATTGATTTCCTTATATGTTGGTAGATTTTTATGCTTGAGATACTTTTATTTTATTGATCATATTGATTTATATTGATATATTAATATTGATTGTTAGATTCATAATGATTATTGATTTTATATTGATTTAGATGAGCATGTATATTGATATTATTACCTTACATTGGAAGCTTTGATAGTTTTGATTGTCTATAAGGCTTTATGAGCTCATTATATGGATTTGATGGATTTTCATGTTCATGAAGGGGACCAGCTGAGTGAGAATGATTATAGTAAAATTTATAAGTTTAGTTTATTATGTTTTATTTCATTTTATTATTTTATAACCATAAGGGTTGTAATAGATGTATGTGATAGATTAAACTTATGGTTGTTGTATATATATTTTAATTAGTGATGTATATATTGCCAAATGATATGATATACATAGGCTTTGGCTATTTTTAATTGATATAAAATAAAATTAATTACTATGGTATATTAATTAGATGATAAAAAGATGTAATCTTCCGATTTAGACTTTGGGGTCACATAATTTTGATATCAGAGCAATGGTTATTGGAAAAATTGAATTAAAAATTAGAGCCATGAGATTGATTATGAGTGGGGTAGAAGTGGGTATAATAGATTTTATTCCTTGCTTTTTATTGATTAATTGCATATATAAGTATGTGTATTGAGTTTGATGTTTGTTATATTAGGAAAGAGATTTATATAGTAGAAAAATGGATCATGCTGATCAAAATATACATAATGGATAAAGTGCATCAACAGTTCTAGTGAGTTCTGATATCTTGATACAGCTTATCAATATACTTGCATAGGTAATGAGTGATGCATAGAATAAGCAAATTGGACATAAGGATGTGATTGATTGAACTCATAAATGATTGAATGCAATGTGAATGATAAAGTCAGTGATCAATATTTATTTAGATTTTTATTTATTATAGAATTAATATTATATTGATTTATTTTTAATT